CGCGCAAAATGATGGTAAAAAATGAGCACATCAAATGATGTTAACGGCACTAACAAGTAAACTGATTTTGTTGCTCACGCTTGATGTAATCGTTTTCAACGTCTACTACAGTTGCTGTATTAGCACTGAAATTGGCCTTATGCAAAACCGCCTCAGCACTCATACAGGTCTGTTGCTCGCTGAACGGTGCTGTCGTTGTGGACGAGGTAAACGAGGTCGGAGAATGCAAGTGATCCAGCGGCTCCGGCAACTGAAACTGAATGAAACGTGCAGAAACGCCTTTTTTTTTGAAACTTTTCTCCTTCAAGGGCTGCTTTTTTTTCTAAAATTACTCCTCTCAAATCCAAGAAGCACTCAACTGCAGCTGAGAGAAAGCGGGAGAGGTGCAAGTCGTCCGAAACGTACACCAAGCTAGCCTTGGCGCTCAGGTTTGAAGTATCTGGAATACAAAATGATGGACGTAAAAAATTGAACGTTATACGGGACCAGCGTACCCTTACAAGTACACCCAGACAGGAGAGAAGAAAGAAGGGCAGTGCGTCGCTTCGGACGCAAGACTTGTCTGGAGAAGGAGAAGGGGAAAAGTAACTGAAGGTGTAGAACAATGCCGAATGGCTGTGCCCAAAGCCCAAAAAAGAGTGGAATTTACCTGGAAAAGGGCAGTGTTTGCCTCAGAAGTCTTAACAGAGGAAGTGCAGAACAAAGGGCACAGGTGAGAGTGGGGAAGCCAATCTGGCGCTCTCGCCCCGGCAAGACTTACTTTTGGCCTGGATGGGCAGGAGGCGCTACTTCTAAGAAATTGTAGCAAAAAACGAAGGCACATTAACCAGAGAAAGGCCGAGGCCGGCACGAGCCCAGTTTGCTTGCTGCAGCATTGACCGTAGACGCTCAATGGTCGGTGATGTTTGATTCGGCGCTGGAAATATGCAGTCCTGGCACTGCTGGCACTTGTATCCCGCTGGCGCAGTATTGGCCGGCAGTCGACGCGCCCACGCATCCAGACACTCCCAGTGAAACAGATCTGAAGCGCACAGAGAGATATTCAGCAAATTGCCAGCTACTGCGGCCGGCTCAAACTTCAAAACGTACGCAAACATTTCAGGCGAACAGTCTCCTTGCACTCGAACGGCGCTGCGCACAGTGCACAGCTGGTGTCGTAGTCGCTGTCGGCCAGCCAGGACAGGTAGCTCTGCACCACACACTGCAAAAGCCAAGCATCAACTCCGT